TATAAATGAACATTCCTAAGTGGTATTTTTGCAAATGTACGTACAAAAAATGGTATTTTTATAATTGTCCTCTCTAAAAAATAGGTACTCTTACCTCGTCTACATTGACAAAAGTAAAATTGCAATGGGACTAAATCTTTTATGTTTTTTTTTTAATCTGGTCCACAACTTTTCTAATATAAAGCAAATTATTTATAATATGAAAAAGCCATCGAACCAACCATCTCGTTCGGAAGTTTAGCCCAATGATCGAAGTCGCGGCCGGTTTGAAACAAACCGGGCATAACTTCTTGCGGGTGGTTATAGAGAGAGACATACAAAGAAGCTCCCGAGTAACTACATAGAGGAAATTGGTGAGAAAGGGTTGGTAGTGAACATGGAGTCCTCAATTACAATTTCTTGCGCGTAAATCAGTCGGTTGTTTTATGACGCATTGTAGGTGGAATTTAGAGGCATTGAGCTTAGGAGGAGTGGCATTGGAAGATGTTTTTAGAGAACTAATAAGAATTTTAAAATGTAATTTCTGTATTTGTTTGTTTCAGAGTTGATTATGGTATAATTCGGGATGAACAAGAACCAAGACACCACGAAGCTGAGTTTTTATAATTGGTTTCTTTGTCCTTGGATATCGGTTTCCTTTTTATACGCCACTAGATAAAAGACCCGCATATATGCGGATTTGCGATTTTTTTTTTATAAATCTGTAGGAAAAAATATTTAGTTGTGGTGAATAAAATTAGATCACCCATTAACATCAAAGTCAGAATGTTAATACAAAACTATTGATCGAAAAGAATATCATTTATTTCATTAATTTTTATGCTTTCGTTATTTGATTTACAATTAAATTTTATCACATATTTTAAAATTATTAGTTTTTCTTATTTCTATTTAAATTGGATTAACTTTTTTCTTTTAATATTATTTTACTATTCAAATATCTATTTTTGAAAATGTTGATGAATTATTTTTCATATTTATATTTGAACTATTTTTTCTCTTTAATATTTTATAACTTGCAAATAAAAAATCAAAGACGAAAAAATATTCAATTCATTAAATATTTATAGAGAATTCTATCAAATATTAATCTATTGTATTCTTTATATTTGTTTTATACTTTTTGATT